TACGTAGATGAGCTGGGGATCTTTTCTCACTCACCATGTTATGGAATTTCAAAATTAAACTTAAAATCCAAGCCTGCTAATCCTATTTGATGCCTGAGAAATTCATATTCAGGGCCTCGCTAAGTACTTTGTGTGACAGATTGGCAAAATATCTGCTCTTTTATGAGTATAATATGTGATTTGTTTTTCCAGTTCAATTTTCTATTGCTGCCTGATTCAATGCATGGAATTAAATCAAAGGAGGCTATAGGGGAGTTGTTTAAAAACCAAGAAGGAACAGTAAAACAAAAACACAGCTAAGAAATCCTGAGGTACTTGGGTTCAAGGGAGTTCTGATAACAATAGCTGGCTCTATAGGCCCCTAGCACATGTTACATTTAAGATATGATTAACATGTTAATTGCCCCTTAAAAAGCAACCCAGCCACAAGTTCAAGTCTGTTTCTGGCACGTTAATACAGTAAATAAGCCACAACGTTATTCCACTTATAATGTGTAACATCTTTGTGACTTGTTGAATATGTGCCAGGTTGGGGCTAGCCCACAACAGATCCTGACACTCAGCTGAACCAGTTCCTTCATGTGGGCCCCCAACTAACAGATGGGAGAGCACCATGAGCTTGGCAGTAGGGAATGTCTCCCCAGTGTCAGGCTCCCTGTACCCCAGACCTTTAAAAAGCATGTGTGCAGCTAGGCTAAACATAAAGTTTTTAACAGTCCTTGCATGCCAGTACCCCAGAATCAGGAAATATCTCCCCAACCCCAGGGTCCCCATGCACCAGGGATATCATAAAACCATGTATAAAACCCAGCTGCATGTGCAGTTTTCAAAGTGCTCAGTGGATAGGTACCCTGGAATCAGGGTGATGTTCCTTGATCCTGGGGTCCCATCCCATCAGGACTTGTAAAAACAACCGTGAAGCCCAGCTAGACTGCACACACAGTTTTTATTCATCAGGGCACATGTCATTTTACTCATCAGGCCACAGGATCAGGAAGCAGTTCCCCAATCCCAGGTCCCCATGTGCCAGGACCTGTAAAAACTGGTGCACAGCCCTACTCGGCTGCATACACAATTGTTACTCATCACAACCCACTATGATCCTGGGGTCTCCCTGTGCCACAATGTGTAAAAACCTGACAGGTATGCAGTTTAATGTCCCCAGTGGGAAAAGTCCTTCAACACCCCCCACTGAAAGCCTCTGGTGCCCAGAGCCAGGGTCTTAACAATCAGTGGTTCCAGATCCCTGTTCAATCCCCAGCATCAGCTGATCATTAGGTACCTGGCTTTTAACTTGCTTGTGCAGGAGAGTCTGGAATAATGATCCCAGGCTCCTCCTGCACTGGAAAATAAGGGACAATTGGGATCTAATCCCTGATCCCAAAATTGTGCGTCCTGCCTTGTATATGTGGCATGGCAGGTGGCATGGCATGATTGTTGGGGTCACAGATCAGATCCCACCATACCTTTAAATGAAAGTCTCTTACCAAGCTTTGGGATCTAGGGAGATATAAAGCATCCAGGACCTGAAAAAAGGAAGGAAATGGAGTGAGCTAAGAGAAACTGCTGAGGGTGGGTAAGTGAAAAGCTGACAGTCTAACTGCTTTCCTTTCCAGAGCAACAAGGAGACACAGATGCTGTGAGCAAGAGTTAGCTGGGTTGAGGAAAACTTGCAAAGATTTAATACCCAGGCCTGCAAGCCTTTTATTGTTTTTATTTTTTGTACTAAATGGTTTGTACCATTTGCAGAACTAAACAATGAATCCTTTGTTATGAGGATTCTAGCTCTGTCACCATGAACACAGGCTATCACAAGTTCATGAAGAGAAACTCAGTCATGCTTCAACCCCATTTGGATGTGATGAAGTACTCATCAGCAATACATAAGAGCTGTAAGCTGGGTCCTGGACAAAGAACGAGAAAATTACAGAATCCCACCACAGGCGGGGTAAAGACCAGCTGCCCAAAGAGGTGCACTTGGTGACACGCTGAGAAGCCCAGTAACTCTGAGACTTCAATTTCCTTAATATCATGTACTGGAACACCTGAATTAAGCCTGAATAAGAATTACATTACTTTAGGTTACATAACCTAAAATGGCACATTTCGGTCAATAAAAAGCATTAAAGTCCACTGCGATGCTTTCCTTCCCGTTAAAACGAATGATGTATTCCTATGTGCTTACAAAGCTTTACTGACAGAGCAAACACCTATAGAGGCATATAAAGCTTTGTGTCACCTGGCTGAACAAACACAGCCAAGTAGGACTGAAGCCATCTTGGCTTAGAGTTTGCCTGCATTGTTGATTCCAGGAATTAGTTCAAGAGTGTTTAAGCAGCTTTCAGAGCAGTCTCTGTAAAGGGGAAAAGTAGATATGAACACTGTCAGAGCCCAACTTAAATACAGTTTCATGCAGATAGACATTGATGCTTGCTTAAAACCCCCCTGAAGCCAATGAGATTATGTACCAGATAAAGGTCTACCCATGTGATTCCCTTTGTAAGATCAGATATCCAGATATCCAGTTAGCTACTGCTACATGAGCTAGAGGTGGTTTTGGCCCCCAGCCAGCCCTGGGATAATATCAGGCGGAGAGATGCATTTGCCTCTACACGCTGCTCTTTGCATTGAGTTTGAAACTGAGCCCTGCGCCCTTAGGGACCTATACACAAACTTCTGTAGAGCACAATGGCTCATTTTGATATCTGTTGAGGAGGCAGACAGCAACAGAAGTGCCTCCAGACAACACTGGCTATAGCTGTTGTCTTCAGAAGGTTGATCTGAAAAGAAAATAAACCAGTGTGTACAGGGGAAAGATGCATCCAGTAGCTGCCATCAAAAAATTCTGATTTCCCAATAGTTCAACTCATACCGACATCTGAGAGACTGCAGGAAATCCTTCTAGGAATGTCTTGGGGATTTCATGCTATCTCAGATGCTGCTGTTCCTGTGAAATCTGAACATCTTGGTGATTTTTCATAGTTTCATAGTTTCATAGTTTCTAGGGTCGGAAGGGACCTGAGAAGATCATCTAGTCTGACCCCCTGCCATGGCAGGAAAGAGTACTGGGGTCAAACGACCCCAGCAAGGTGTTCATCTAACCTCAAGGTTTCATGTCTCCTTACGAAAATGTCCTATAAAATTAGATAGCAATTAAATCAAAGGGTTTCTATAGACATTAAATAAGGACTCTGGTCTGGAAACCTACACAAGCTAATGGAAATTGCTCCTGTTTTTAGCAATTTTTTAAAAAACAGGGACAGAATGTTAAATTAAGTTTTAAAGCATAGTCTCCAAAGTTCCCATTTTCTGTTATATTCTATAGAACGCTTCCCCAAGGCTTGCACCGTTCTTGTTCCTCTTCCTAATGACTGGACATAGGGAAACTCACTACCAGACATTCACCTTGTTTTTTAAGAAAGTAAAGACAGTCTAACAGCTGAACATGTCAGAGATTTCCTGTGTTTTTTCAAGTAAATCATTCAACTTTCTGGGCCTCAGTTTTCTCATCTTTAAATGCTATTTTATTATCATATTATTTTATAATAGGCTATCATAGTTTGGATGCTTTGGCCTTATCTTGACAGGCAAATCATTTATTGGTTCCAAACATGTTAGTTCAATTAAATTAACTGACACGTCCTGTCAAGGTGCAGGCTAACACACCTGAAGCCATCGGCATGTTTTTTCCTCGAAAGCCTGCCGTGGCAGGGGGAAGGCATCATATAAAATGCAGCTACTAAAACACCAATAGGTAGTATGGTTTCAAATATGTTAACCTGTGTCTTGACAAGGCTTTTCAGTTGTGTTAAACAAACTGGACTGAATTGACACAACTGAAAAAACTGCCTTGTCCAGAGAGAGTGCTTTGGGGCTGAGGAGGAAGGAAACAACTATCACTCTACGTACAGATACAGTTAGAAAATATCTATTTAGAAGATGTCAGGTTTGTGTTCTCAGGGTGTTCAGGGAAAGGTTGTGGATACAACTTCCCCTGCATACCTTCTTGATCAGCTGCTGCCAAACTTCGCTTTTCCATGTCTTCCTTTCTTGTCTCGCAGGCTTTGATAGTGGGCATAAAGCACTGTCATTCTTCTCAATCTCTTTGTCCTTCCACAATGATCTGGAAATTGCTGCCTCCACATCTTTTATACTGCGCCCCCATAAGTCCTCCTTTCTCCTGTGTCTTCTGAACTTCCCTGATATGCTGTGTGTCACACACAGAGGCTGCCTGTGCCACTTGTGGCAGGTTGCCTACCTCTGGATTAGAAGATGGAAGGAATTACAGAATGGTAGGGCTGAAAGAGTTACATCAAGCCCAGATTAGGTACATCTTTCCAGGCTGACCCCTGTCCAAAGAAAGGCCTGGTGTGGAGATTTCT